GAGTGTACGGTGAAATATTAATGGCACCAGCAATTGGGCGACTTGACGCTTCGGCAGGGGCACATGTGACACCAAATGGCTCTCCGGTACCGGCTGCCACGTAGAGCACAAAGTCAGCATTCTCAACACCTTCACTGCGATGCTCATCGGGTACAGTGAAATGGGTACAAGGGTTGCCATTTTCAAAATTGGTCACCTTTAGTTTGCCTTCCTGGGGTTTCACAAGCAGACGATCCCTGTGCAGTTTGATAGCAGCAGGAATTACTTCATTTATTAGAGTTTCCTTCTTTTCATCGGTGAGGACGTTATCATCATTACAAATAGCCGTGCCACCTTTAAAATTCATGACCTGCACACCACTCGTAGTACAGTACCTCGATTTGTCCTCCAAGTCCTTCGTGAACGCCTCAATGCGGATCAGCTCCCATCTTTCATTCTCATTCTTCTGTGTGGCGACGGTGTACGCCTGCACACCACTCTGTCCCTTGCGGGGCAACTCCCGCACAACACCAGTCGAGAACATCCCACTCCTGTTGATCATCTCCTCGAACATGCAGCGCTGCATGCCGTCGTCCCACGCAACACACACACTGGCGCAGCACAGAAACAACAACAGCAGGAGAAGCAGCGGCATCACGTACAGTGACTGGCACACTGTGGCGGGTGTGCGGGCACTCAATTTGTTAACTTGCTGTGGCATATAATGAATGCTGTCTACAGTAGAGAAAGAAATAAGGAGCAAAGAAGGGAAGAGAGAGAAAAAGAGTGAGGAACGCAGTACATAATAGCCACCAACAGCCACATACCATTCATGCACTCACTGCCTGCAGCAACCATGTCACTCACAGTGCTGGTGCCACCATCCCACCCACCCTAGTCCCACCTACGCAGAGAGAAGAGAAATGAGAAGTCGTATGCAGCACACTGAACAAATACGGAATGCAGCATCCCACAGGCATAAAACCACATTTCCCACCACACTCCACGTCGAGGTGTTTCACAAGGTATAAAAGATGAACCACATGTAAAATAAGCAAGACCATACCCATTATTTAGTTATTACCCAGAGTCCAAAATTCCTTTTTTCTGCTTTCACACACAGAAATGAATCTCAGTATAAAGAACTAAAGTGAAAATGAAACTTACGAAAACAGTGCAGCCCCAATTCCCGTGGAACATAAAAAACACGTTCCATTACTTTCAGCAAATAAAATTAAATAGTCTTTTTTTCCAATGTATTAGAAGAAAAGAAACACACTGCAATAATGCGGCATGCAATATAATTGTTTTGAAAAGAAAAAGATACCA